CTGTAGCAAGCGCTCACCGTTATCATTGGGGGAGCCTACACCATGTTGCCGCCAAGATGAAGCTCATTAGAGGGCAATTTTCCGACTTGGGCGTTTAGGTCGCCAGCCAACACCAAAGTATGCGTGTTTCTTCTGTAAAGAAGGAGATCGTGAAGTTGCTGATAGAAAGCATCTTTCACCGAACACGTATGACAGCGATGTATGTATCGCGCTACCTCACAGGTAGCTACTTGGTCATGGTGACTGCGGACATCCCCGTGCTTCGGCTGAACTAACGACTAACTAGCAAGAGGAAGGTGGGAGTTCTAGCCCTTCGAGAGACAGACTGAATGTGTTTTACTGACGAATCGAGAAAGGATGAGACGATCGCTCAGGGATTTTCTCAACCCATGGAATCTGTGCGACTTATCGTGGTCGCGATGAATTTCCCTCAAAAAGGCAGATTACCTCGGTTTGCAATTTGACATTTTATGAAAATCGTCATAAAAGTGGACTAGTCTATCCCACTTTCCATATGGTTTCACACTTCTGTGACGATCTGCTGATCTGGTGAAGTTTGTTTGTGCGTAACGGTATCGTACGGCAATATCGCAGCATGTTATCTTACAGATGTACTGACTGCCATCAGATCTAAGTAACCAAATGTACCTTCTGATATGAGTGAACCGGGGAGGGGGGGTCACACTGATCTCAACTAGGTACTCGACTATGTCAGCTAATTCCGTGATGCGTTTATGCTCACTGTCCTACAAATGAAGGACGACGTGCTCAGTTCCCTGCAGAGTCAAGAATATCCACCGCAGCCAGGAAAGCGCCTGAAGGACGTTTTGTCTCATTTGGACTCGGCATTAGCGCGCATTCTCCGGAACCTGCTGAATCTGAACCTATAACCTTACTGTTAGGAGTCAGTAACTTATGCCACTGAGCTATGGGTGACGTAGCGGACTGCTATGCGTTATTTCTAACTAGTACAGCGCGGTTTGTCCTCCACTGTTATGCATACTATGAGGGTGTGGAGGCAGAGATAGCCCCCAGAGCTACGGCTACGTTTGAAAGTCGCCACCCATGGAGGTGGGATGTAAGCTTCGAGATGATTACTGATTATAAGTGGGTGTTGGGGAAATTTAGTTTGTTTCTGAGTAGTTTCGCCAAAGCTAGACTCAGACAGCCACCGCACATGCAGGAAACCAGTATATGGAGGTTTCGTCCAACTGGGACCCGTTAGTAGCGTATAGTAGCTGGATGCTGCTAGATCCGAGTCCACGACATTCCACTTGCAAACCAAGATATTAATCCACTGGACCATGAGTAAAGGCGGTGGGTCGTACTGACTCACTACTGGATTCGATATTGCATGTGGCGTCCTCCATTGTCATGCATATTGTGAACGGACAGAAGGCAGCGCTTGGCCCGTGAGCCACAACCTACTGTGAAGCCGCCGGCAATCAAGGAGGTATCTAATCCCCTTGAGTGATTACTGATGGTTATAGCGTAGTGTGGTGGATGTTCAATTGAGTCGGATTGTGACGCATCTTCTCGAAGGTCCACTACTGGTCTCTAGGCTCCATGAGGGAAAACGTATTGATGGTGGATACGTAAAGGATGAACTGGCTATCTGGTATACTTGTGGACGAGAACAGAATGAAGTTCGAAAGAAGTGATCTCTTCTCGACAAGTGATCTCGAATGTGACAAAAAGTAGCGCAACCGAGTGATAGATGTTAGGTCCTTTCAACACTACACTCCATGATCGATCTCGTCTTGCTTGGACGCGCCAGGTAGGAATCGTCGGATTGTGGAGTAGTGATTGGAGGCGGACACTTTCAGCCCTGTACTCCACCGATATAACGCTTTCCAGACAACGCCTACACTCTTCTTGTTGAGGTTTTGCCACACTCGATGCATGTAGGTGGCGCAAAATGTAATCCCCAAATTGGAACGCGGTTTAGAAGGCATTTCGGAATTCATATATGTAAGGGGTGCTCCAAAGTCCATTCATGGTCCAATAGGCATAACAAACGCTGAAGAAGTGCATGACGAAAAGGGAGAAAAGTTATCAAGACGCATCATTTGTGCAAGTGGCTTCAATCGTTATCCACAAAGCCAGCAGGGCCTGTGAACAACCTGTTTGATTCCACCGATCGTTCGTGTCAATGTATTTGTTCTAAGTACTACAGCATCGAGCGAAGTTGGTTGTTTCCACAACTGCATTACACTTGAACAGAAGTTAGTGACGAAGGAAAACAGTGGCGACAACTGGAATACAAAGAGTTTGGTGGGCAGACAGTTCTTTCCGATGAGGAGCTGGTGCGAGGAATAAAATCATAAATTTGATTTCTCGTACACGTGCAAAGCGTGTTCACTGTATCCTCTGGAAACCTGTAATTCAGTGTTCAACGCCTCGACGTTCATTGTTGGCGACGTGGAAAAGCCGGATGGTGCTCTACGCAATTCGTCCCGTCGCCAAGTATGCACGGTGTGGTCTGTTTATGGCGACCACCAGATGTGTAATGTCTACCTCAGTAAGTAAACCAACCGGCCACTTCCAAGGGCTAATCGGCGACTGTAAGAATAGGCACTGTGTCGAGCCGGTGCTCTAACAATAATCTGTAATATGATGGTACGAAGCGCATACCAGTTTGTTCAGCATCGCATGTGCAACAGTTGTATGCACCACAGTACACCTGACAGTCGTGCACACTAGTTTTTTCATTCCATTGTAACGAGACTGGGCTGTAAGCTAGTGCACGGTTTTCGCACTCTCTTGATTCATTCCGTTATACATGTAGTTGAAGTTGGGCTGTTCGAGAGTTGATCCTACCAGATAGTCGGAAATCACGCAAACTCAGTCGCTTGATCTGTCAAGTTGAGGATTGTAACATAGTAGTGCCCAGGTGTTATAGACGGCTGTCCTACATCCACCGCCGTTCGATCAGGTTCCCTTGTAGAATTCTCCGGTTCATCAAGACAGCAAGTGATGTGAACGACCCACTGACCTCGGAGTGCTGTAACCGCCAGACATCACTGGTATGCAGAGAACCAAGTAGAAGTATACTCGACCACTGTAAACCCCAATGCAGCCAAGTCTAAAAACTGTTCGGTGCCAGAATCTCCGTTATCCAATTCTTTGTGTTGTAAGCTTGAGATATGCCACTTCTGCCTGGTAGCAGCATCAAGAAAACGGGATGTGCTTCTAACCGATGACAACAACATATGTTACGGACGTTTTGATTATTCAAGCAGGTCGTTGCTCTCCTCTCTAGTTTGTTTTGAGTTCTTACTCAAACATTTACTTAAAAGCAACTCTAGCATATACAAGCAAACCCCATTTGATCAGTCCGATATGTTGGCCTTCAGTATATGTTCACTTTCATCTGCTGACATTCGCCCAGCTTGAAATTGAGCGCTGATAATCCCTTATGCCTTTGTGTATTTACGCGCAGTGAATTACCAGTTTAGTAAGTACCCTTGTATATTGCGGACTGATTGGTTAGACTATCGATCGTTTCAATTTAGATCGCGTCTGAACGCAACTCTCTCATTTGGCCATTTGACTGGTCCTTTGGTTTGACATCGTTCACCGGCCGATTGCAAATTGAGAACAGATGGTTGTACATTTGTTGGTCTGGACATCGTTGATGTCAGTATCTAAATTGCTGCTCTGAACTTCCGTAAAATAGCATCGCGGCTCATTTCCGGTCTTAACTGCTGAGTTTATCCGGATTGCTGTTCGTGGTCCAAATCCACAACCGATTTGTCGGTTCTAACATTTGTGACAAGCAGTAGGTTCAGATCCTGTACGACATGAAGAAGTAACGTTCGGTTTTATGTGGCTAACGTAATACAGGGTGGATTTCCCTGTTATGTTCCCTAAGATCTGATCAGACGCGTCACACTCCGATAGGTGCCAAAGATCGATGCGGAAAACCTCGCCTATTCATGAGATACTTCGCGACCGTGTTGGATGAACCGGTTAGGTTCGCTAATGAAACTGAAGAACACACTGCTTGGTTTCTAATTGCTCATTAGGTAGCGGAAATATTTCCTGTGAGAGAAGTAACAGGTCGATGCAGGGGAGGAATAGAAGATTATGTGAGCAACTGACGATGGAAGAGTAAAGCTAAACTGTTATTGATTTAACCTGACAAGTCTGCGTGAAGCCACAGGTGGAGTCAATTCAAAGGGGTTGGTGCTCAGATGAGGACACATATGAAGGTAACGTGAGTCCCCAAATTGACAACTCTGCATCCAGAAGAAAACGTAATGGACATGGTAGTTTAGAAGAACGTGAAGTATGCAGCCATAAGACTGACCAAGCAAGTGGATAAGAAACACCGGAAAAAAACAACTCGCCTCACAGTGACAATAGTAGTAATAAAAACTTTTGAAAGACGTATGGGAATAAATAGAGCAGGCACAAGAAAAAAAGGAATGCTGAAAGCGAAGGAACAATAGGTAAAAAGAAAGGCTATCACCAATGCGTCGTGGCTACACCATGTGAGAGGTAGAGGAGGATGGAACGCATGAGCCAGGCGATGTTTGTCGGTCACTTTTCCACAATTTTTTGTTATGCAGCACGAAAAAGAAAGGTGTTTATTACCGACGGGTAATGACGGTGATGCGGTTTCCGGCACATCTCTGCAGGACGTAAATGGCAATTTCCAGGCATAGGCGTATGCACTACACCGATCGTTGTGTCTGCTAACGCTCACATTGCAGTACTCTACGCAAATGGGTAAACGGTTTGGAAAAGAAACTCCTAAATAGCTGGCCGCGGTGAATAAAACACGATGGTGTTGCAATATGTCGCGAACAGCCCCATGAAAAATAAGAATAGAACACCGCCAATTAAAAAAACATCGTATAAAAATGACTATAGAATAATGAACATGAGAATAATACACGGACGGGGAGCACGAGAGCTTAGAGGTTCTTCGGTTAACAGTGCTTCAGTAAAGGGAGGGGGCGCATGATTCGATGTGAGAACAAAATGACTGCTGATCATCCGTGAGTCTGGTCATCCTCGACAAAGTCAAGCGCTTCCTCCTTGGTCACACATTCAATGTGGCTGACCTACAAGGCGAGAACGAAAGATATATCAAGATGTATGTGACAGAAGGGCAGAGGAGCGTCAGTTTTGCGAACCAAAGTGAATAGAGTGAGCATAGGTGGAGAGAAAACACCGGGTGCTGTCGTGAGGCAACAAACAATGCAATTCAGTTAAACAACCACGATTCCGGCACCGAAATGTGAAGGATCCAGTTGCCACGGCTTGGATCACCTGAACAACACTAAACAATAATGCTGTTGCTGTTACCATTTACCTCGTTTCCCAACAACCATGGTGGCTCTGTCAATGCGGAATAAGGTGTAAGAAGCGGCGACCCAAAAGAAAAAGGAATAGCGCGAACAAATATTAAGAAGGCATTTACACCTTGCCAACGACGCACGGTCACAGACAGTTGGCCATCGTGTGAGAAAAATAACGTGACATGGGCGACACATTTACCTTGTGGCTTTCAATGTCATGCGTTCCGATCTGTCTTACCACACAGATTACTGAGAGGCTGATGGCGCCTGCCACGAGCTATGTTCCACCAGGAACGGAGTCGATCGGATAGACCCCAACAGAACCCCTATCCGATTTTCAGAGGTTATTTTCCGATCGTAGGGAAGCGGCTACCCCGAGGCATTGGAGGACATGATAACGTATTAAAATAGCTCAGTTCACGGTATCTCTAACAGTTTCATAGCTTGGCTTATGAATCCGAGGGATTCAGCTGGATTGCTGATAATGTAGAGAGCTGGTGGGACACGGAACGTAGTAGTCATTGAGGAGAACAGCAAATGCCACACGCATAGTGCCAAAAACCCGCTAATAGAATTCGGCCGGTGTTTCAGTTTGAGAGGGCACTATTTCACAGTGAAGTCTTCTTGTCAGTGCACATAGCGATGCGCATGTTAAGTATTAAATACCGTTTCCCGGATCGGGCGCCGTCAGTCCAGTGGTTGTAGATTAATGCGACAGATTCCGAAAAGAACACCAAATTAATTTAAAATTACTAGTGAGTAAGAGGAATTTTTGTAAAATTTTACTGACTCGTTCCAGCATTTCACAAGCTAGCCGGTCAAAGCACCAATCCAGAGAAGCATCAGACGACCGTTTCGCCAGATCGTCATAACGTGCAAGCTAACTGGGATATAGCGCGACTTATCCTCAACTACCATGCAGATTCTGAACATTGCAAAGGACAGTGGATGGCCAACGGATATCACGACTTCCACCACAGAGTAGTTATGTACGCATAAATTTGAAAACTAGGAGGGTGGATTTTTGAGTACTAATGAGTAGGGGATATTTGATGAAATTTTACTGGTTCGCTTCCGTGAAAGGGGCTGAATGAGAAGCGATCTGGGAGATGTTTATGGAAAGGACCTCGGTGATATGTATCTTAACGAGTACTTTCAAAACAGGCCAATGCAGACGGTCAATGGAAACTACAGATGGAATTTAATAAATGGATCTTCAGGCCAGAAGCGGGTTTTCGCGGATCGTGCAACACTTTACTGGAATAAAATTCCCTCCACAATGTGACTCGGCGTATACCTGAAAGGATGTCTGGGCCAAATCAGATTGGACAATAGCCTGAACCACCATGATTGTAAGGAATAGCAACGATGGAGAATCAACACAAAGCAGTAACGACGAAGGACTCCGCACTCCCTCTAATGGCAGAATCAAAGAACGGACAAGCAAACACGTAAATACTAGCAGTGCGTTAAGCGACAGCCTGTGAGAACTCTGCAAAATCGATTTAATCAGGGGCTCATCACACTGGAGTGATAAGTCACTGGGAAAAATAATTCTGCCGCATGGCTTAGGTATTCCAACCGGAAACCAAACTGTACAGCCCAAGTTCGAAGGAGGGAGATTGGACAGGGTGTGCCATCTTTGTAGGGAGAGAGCACAGTGACACCCCCTTACCTTATTGCGAAACTTGACACCGTAAAACTTCTCGGCGGATTCCAACAACTCTGGTCGGAAGGTGGTTGTGATGAACTGGGCCTCGGATTTGAGGTCCCGGATCATGTCAGCAACCGCTTTTCGGTACTGGGCGTCTAGGGCGGCGTCAATCTCGTCGAACAGGTAAAATGGGGCTGGATCGCACTTCTGGATGGCGAAAATTAATGTGAGAGCTACCAGCGATTTTTGTCCACCAGAGAGCTGATTCATGTCGCGCATATCCGCGGAGTCACCGGTGAAACTGACGCGAATTCCAACCGCGGTGAAGCGCTCCACATTGGGAGGAGGAGCATCGCCGCCTTCAGTATCCTCGTCACTACTATCATCGTTCTCCTGAACAAAGGTGACGAAAAGAGATGAAAAAAGCAAGGCGTTACAAAGAAACTGATCAAAAGTGGGCGATTCACGAGGGAAACAAATACAGTGTTCGCATTCACATCTTTGGTATGGAGCCCTGGACCTCTGATGCAATGGGGCTCCATCCTCCTCTGCGTTTACCTGCTCCTTATTCTCCACTAACTTCATGTCCAAGAAATATTCCCCTGGATTTTGACGTACATCTCCTCAGTAACGCCTATCGCACAGTTCGAAGCCCACTGTTTTACAATGCCTAAGCTGGTGGTGTCATTTACCCGTGGTATATGAGATCCATGTGCGCACACGACAATGGCCACAATGGAACGCCACATTTGCTTTTTCTTCTTCTTCCTTTAATTGTCCATTTCCATCCTAAATTTCTTGACATAAACGGTTTCATTATCTGTTTTGTTGTTGGAGCATGCTCTGGTGACCGCTTAGCCCATAGTTCACAACTCTTTTATTCGTGATGTTTATGCTCCCATAGACACTGCCTGTGGAACACGAAATCTGTATGCTCAGGTTGTGGCGGTAGGTGAATAGTACTTTAGTTTCATCTACCCTCAAAAGTCAGTTCGAATCTTCGGCATCCTCCTTTTCGCGGTAAGGTACTGGCTTCCACTCCTTAAGAGTATTATCCTCCTTAATCATCCGGCACTTCAAATAAAACACTGTCTTTTATAGATCCACCGGAGGTTTTATTGTTCTACCTGATTGTAGTGAAATCAAATGGAACCATATAAAAGTCTCACTTGTCTTCACGATCGTTATTCATCGAAAGTGTTTCATGGCTGCAGACAAGAAGTTCATCAGATATCTCTTTCGCGTAATTTATATATACGCCTGCGCTCGATAATTCATAGCGAGCTCCACTTATAGGTCAAGCAATGGATTTAGCTCCGTTCTATATGCATTATCATACAAAACCTACTCGTCTTTAGCTTTCTCTGTTACAAATATCTGCCAAATTCATAATGAATATTGTGTAAAAGGAGGAATAAGTTAAAAAGCTATAATTCTTTTCATATGCCCATTTCCAAAACCTACTCCTTGCGGACGATTATTCTGGTACCAAGGAATTCACCCGTCGGTTTCTCCTGAAGGTCTCGATTGCCTAGAAATTTGCCGGGAAGCATCCAACACAGCCGACGGTAAAAACTCCGTCTAAATAATGTTTATTGACCCTTATTTCCTTATACGACTTAAGTCTGGGTGAACAATTGATGTTTTTCGAAATTGATGCACTAGCTTACACAACGATGTTCGAACGAATCGTGCACAGGAATCCTTGGATATGTGACTCTATAGACAGGTCTCGTAAAAACTGAGAATTTATTATTATCATTACACTATTGTTGGCTACAGTTTAGAACGGTGAAGAAAGTCATAGAACCACTGGTGCAACCTGTACGGTAGTAGGTAGAAATCATCTACAGAGCACGCTCACACACGTACGCTTTGCCTAAATAACCCCTCACGACAGTCTATGGGCGGTTGGCAGAATGTCAAGTGCCCTGGCTTTTTAACTTTCTAGAAACCATGGTATGACTGCAGAAAGTCAAACGTTAAATCCATGTGACCATTACCGTTTAAGCCAAACGCGTCGTGCTATCGATGAGAATGCCGCATGAGCAGATATAAACAGCTGCAAAAATGGCAATACAGAAGCCCAAACGGAACAGTCGCTAACACGAAGAGTAGATTAGAATTAAAGCAACTCAGAGCGCCACAAACAAATATGAGACCACTTACCCGGGCTCCTATCTTCATGACCAATTCCGCGCGCCCTTCGGGTACAAGACGCTTGAAAATATCCTGAAAGTTCTTGGATACCTGAAGACAGTGCGGTCAATAGACAGCTTAGCGGTTAACATTTGCAAGAAGAAAATAAAGAAAGCGGAAAGGCAATAGTTTTATGGAGAGATGACGTTCTCCGGGGACTTATTTCCACCGACAGATTCCCGTCTGAGAGTCCTCATCATACAAACCTGAGAAAAAAAGTCAGGTATTCAACCCAGCTCATGAGCGACGCTACCAACTCCCATACGAATTTCAATGGGATCTGGCCCTAGTAGCTCAGCAGTATGCCGTGCACTACACCAACTCAAGGTTGCCACGAGGCCATCATCGGTCAGGTGCGGGCTAATGTTACTACGAGGACGACTGCATGTACACAGATTGGAAACGGTCACCTATGGGTAAAAAGGCGCACGCTTTATCCCTTCTGCCATCGGCCGACAGTAAGCAACATGTATGCTCTTTCATCAACAATGACAAAGAGTGGGAATTGTTTTCCCCCTTTAAAGGACTGCACCTTAAAACCGTAAACAGCTGCTTCGTAGGACTGTGGTGAGAGAGGAAGGAGATTTATCGATAGGCCTGTGAGGAAAACAGTCAGTTTTGTACAGCTAGACTGTTATGACAAAACATGACCTAATCGAAGCTGTGCGTGCTCCAGCCTCTGTGGGTGTAGACAGCCGCCAGTGGTGGTGAACATGTCAGGGGATTTTTCATCCCGTTGGCTTTGAAGTACATCGGACCCGACGATCTCAGTCTAACATAAGCAAAGCGCTTGGACTGGCTGAGCTGTGTGGCGACACAGATATTTGGTCACACAACCGTCTAGTTGTCGACATGCAAAGCGATATCGTCCGTTAAGCTGTTAATGCTGGGGTACGTAGTGCTGAGACAAACGAATTTGTCTACCGCTTCAAAAGGATAACCCGAAACGGTAAGGGTAGGAGTCAGGATGGTCTTAAAGTTCAACAGGGTGAAAGTCAACTGGAACTGGGAGTCAGATGCCTGCAACCTACGTAGTACATTCTGGGCGGTTTGCGGGGAATCGAAACTGATCTCGTCGGTATAATCCAACTCGTTAAGTCGGTCTAGCGGAAGCAATCAGAAGCCGCTGGGTTCAAAAGTGTCCAAAGCGCTCTTCAGAATGCCATCCATAGGAAAAATGAGAACAGGATGGGTGGATGCTGAGCAGCCATGGAAGCAGTGGGGATGATTCAGATGGAATTTAAAAGAAACACAAGAAGAGAAATGCTAGAAGCAAAACAATAGTGAACAGCTGATGTTTATCTGGAGACCCGCCTGAAATGCGCATTGCAATTGTCAGGTGGATCCGCGACATGGTGGACGTGCAAAGTGGGTGTTGCCACCACAAATAGCGGCTAGTCTCAACCCACAGCTTTGAACGTTAACGATTTGCCCAGGACCCATTGCCAACCCTGGGCAAGTTCCATAACTAAAGCAGCTAAGTAACCTATTTCGTTGGTAAGGGAATAAGCAAGGGGATTTGATAGTAATGTATAATTAATCAAAACTAAGCTCAGCCAGACGGAAATTAAAGTCTAGAAATAGGTTTTGCGGGTTGTTTCGTGCATTTGACACTGTAAAGAACCTGCAACTTTGACCTGTGGTGGGATTAAAATACTCTACTGTCCCTCGATGAGGACACGGGCTATGAGGACTCAGCTTGTCGCAGCATTGCTACCATCGGATCACAGATATAGTGGACAGTGTTCGGAGGAATAAGTTCGATTGGTTCTTTCGGGTGCCACTTCAAGATATCGGAAGCTTCAAGCGGATGTCAACACGTTACGGCGTGGAACTGGCATGCGCCGCTGAATTGCTCGTCATCAGATAGGCGAAAAAACTCGCCCCAAAAGATGATCAGATGGGTTAGACATGAAACAACGGATGTTGGTGAAAGGAGTGAGGGAAGTACCTGCTTGAACGTCAGCTGAATCGCCTCGTATTTCTGATGATCTAGCGCGTTCATTAAATCTTTGATCGCTTGACAACCTTTGTCTAGCTCATCCTTCCGTCTGAGTAATTTCTCCTTCTCTTCCGAATGCGAGACGAATTGGTCCAAGGCCTTTTTGTTCACGTGGCTGTAACGTTTCAGTTCCCGATTGGCTTCGTCCAATAGTTTGAACAGCTGAGTTGAAGAAAATAAACGAGGCGATAAATAGAGCCGTAAATGCAAAACTCCGCCAAACGTGTCGCAATTAGTTAAGCAGTTTGTTCTACATAATGTAAAGAAGAATGTAAACATGGTTATGGGAATAAGAGTAGACCAGCGGTTCTCAACCTGGGGGTAAATACTCCCAAGGGGGTAAAAGGAAATTGTATAGGGGGTCATCAAGCTATCACTAAACAAAAATAATGACAGAATCATATGCACCAAAACATGTCACTAACTATCTAAGCACTACTGATTAGCCAGCGGTGAATAATCAGTAGTGAGTGACAGTAAATTATCACCACCACCATCATCATTATTATTATGCAAGTCAACTAGAGGTGGTAAAACACCTCCGCTATTTTACCGCAATACATAAAGGAAATACATACACACATACAATACATAAAAGAAAAATAAATACGACAGTTGCATGCCAGCTGAGCTACCAGCAACGGATACGCATCGTTCCGGTAAGCTACCAAGCGGCTACTAGACAAAAACAAAAAAATTTAATTATGTTTTACCCATCGAAATAAAATCGTAGATGGAGGGGGATGGCGAGGGACAAAGAAACTCACAGCAGGAACGCCAATGAGGTCGACTCCTTGCCATGTCAGCAAGTGTATCCAGCCAAACGTGTTCACCGTCTTTCGGACCCCAACCAGGGAGTCGTGAAGCTCCAACCGAGGCTAGCTCCGAAGTGAGGGACTTCATTCCTCTGGACCAAGTCATCGCTTGGCCACCTCTCCTCTTCTTCCACCCACATCCCCGGTGAGCAAACAACGCACGTCAAGGGAGTCGGTGGGCTAGCATGCGCAACACATGGCCCAGCCATCGGAGCCTGGTGCGAGAAATAACGGTGCTGAGCGGTTCATTCCCCTTTCCTGGGCCGTAAACAAGGCGTCGAACACGCTCGTTACTCACGCGGTGTTCCCATCAGATGTGAGCCAAACTGCGAAGGCACCGATGGTCGAACGTAACTAGCCTCTTTACATCCGCCGACCTTAGGGGCCAGGTTTCGCAACCGTACAGTAAGGTCGAACGTACCGCTGCATTGTACACTCTACCCTTCAGGGCGAGAGTAATGTCGCGCCGCCGCCATAGGTGGCGAAGGTCAGCAAAAGCACTTCGAGCTTTCGTTATACGGTTCGTGATCTCGTCTTCGATCCCAAGGGCGCTGATACAACTTCCCAGGTAATTGAATTTCTGAACGACTTCTAGTTGATCCCCACCAAGGGTCAGCGCAGGAGGCGATCCCTGCCAATCTTGGAGGAACGCTTTGCATTTCGATGGTGCGAAGCAAAGCCCGAACGGCTGACAGCCAGTGCTAATCTGTCCAGTGCCGCTTGGCACGTCTGGGAGCTGTCACAGATGAGGGCAATGTCGTCTGCATACTCCAAGTCAAGAAATCGTTCTCCTGGGAGTAGCTCCACACCTTCCAAGTCATGTCCTGTAAATGCAATCTCCATGACTTCGTCAATTGCGAACGTGAATAGGAAACGTGACAACGGGCATCCTTGTCTCACACCGCTGGAAATATTGAAGGGTGGCGACAGCCTGCCGTAAGCCCTCACTCTGCCCGTGCTACGCGCATATAATGCTTGGATAATATTTACATATTTCTCGGGCACACCTTTCCTGAGTAGACAATTCCAAAGGGCACATCGATCAGCCGAATCGAAGGCACCTTTGATGTCGAGGAACACGACTACGGTGGGCCGCCAATATGTGTGGCGGTGCTCCAACAACTGACGCAAGGTGAAGATGTGGTCGATGCAGCCACGACCCCGACGAAACCCGGCTTGCTCCTCACGAATCTGGCTTTCACGAGCGCCAGTCAGTCTGTGGAGAATTATGGACGCGAGTAATTTGGAGGCGATGGAGATCAGACTGATTCCTCTATGGTTGCCGCATTCCGAGCGCGAGCCGCCTTTGAAGATGGGAACAATAACGGAGCGGCTCCAGTCGGTTGGGACAGTTTCCTGCTCCCACAGTTTCACTAGTAATACATGCAAAGCATCAACAAGAGCAGAGCCTCCAAATTTGAAGAGGGCTGGAGGAAGATCATCTGGTCCCGCGGCTTTGTTCAACTTCAACAGTCCGATCTCACGTTCGACTTCTGAGCGAGAGGGTGGATCCAAAGTGACAGCCCACGGAGAAGGGCGATCAGTGACCGGCGAATCGAACAAGTCTAGCCGATTAAATTGCTTTTCAAAATGCTCAGCCCAACGCTCCAGACGTTTTGACAAATTGTGGATAGGCTGTCCATTCTCATCACAAATTGTTTCACTAACACCAAGTCTCCTGCTGCTCGTTTCCCGTATCAGACGGAATAACTTACGATGGTTGCCAAAGGCAGCGGCCACCTCCATCTCTGACGTACGATGAGACCACCAGGATTCGCGGTCTCTCTTCAGCCTAGCACGGAGTCTTGCCCGGAGCTCTTTGCGAGTTTCATTGTGTTCACTTCCAGCCGGCATATGCCGGCGAGCGCCGATAAGTCCCAGAGACCGAGAAGAGACCCAATGTCCATGTTGTCTATTAGACATACCACATGAGGATTTGCCTGCTGCTAGCAAGTTCTGGCGAACATGTGACCAGTGACCACCAATTGTCTCCTGTGAGCGCTTACTCAACTCGTATGTCAGCGTACTTCGATACGCCTTCAGAACAGCTGGCTTTGTCAGTTGGCTGGTGTCAATGCGCTCACATCGTCCTAGTGGACGTCGGCCAAAACGCATCCGCATGTCAGCACATACAAGTGCATGATCGGTGTCCACACATGTGCTCCAAATCGAGCGACAATTCTGGATGCAGCCTCTCCAGCGGTAACTTATCGCAATGTGATCGATCTGCGTCCAAGGCTGGTGGGCGCCAAGTCACCCTTCGGCGGGTGCTGTGTCGGAAATTAGTGCTCGCAAGAAATAAGCGAGCATCTTCACACAAATGAAGTTACCGCTCACCGTTATCATTATGGGAGCCTACACCGTGTTGACCGCCCAAATGCAGTTCATCAGTGGACAACTTTCCAACTTGTGCGTTCATATCCCCCGCCAGCACAACAGTGTCCGTGCTTCTTCTGTGGCGAAGGAGCTGGGTCAGTTGACGGTAGAAGTCGTTTTTTACCGAATCATCGCTACAGTTTGTGGGCGCATAGGCAGCGATGATGAATAGACATCTATTAGTCCCGCGCGACTTCGAAGCTTTAAACGAGCCAGCCAATCGAACCGCACACATCCGGCTACTGATTGGAATCCAATCAACCAGAGCAGCTTCAGCCCGGGGACTCAGGGCAATACCAACACCGGCTTGGCCGGTGCTCGAAGCTGCATCGTCACCGGATAGGCGCAAGGAGAAAATACTGCTTGCGTCCCCTGAAGGAGATCGCAGAGTGAGCACAGTGCTCGAGTCTTGCAGGCGAGTCTCTGATAAGCAGCAGATAACAGTAAATTAGATAACATTTGGCAATAAATTCTATTCAAGTTGGTTCGTCGCAATTCGATTCCAAGCCGCATAGGTTGGCGTTAGCCTCTAGCAGTCATGGGTTCGATCCCCAGTAGGGGACTGCTGATGGATGCGCACCACTGACGAACCCCAATAGGGCGAAACGAAACGCGCGTCTGGTGCTTTTCGGGATTGGTAGCTTACCTATGCGGCTTGGAATCGAATCGCGATGAACCAAGTTGAATCACCGAAAGCCGTCTACTCATTCGTAATCAAAAATCTAAGCCCCACCAGTATTCGAAATTGCTGTGTGGATTCACGGCGTTGGCAAGGGAAGACCTGACCGTGACGGCCAATCACTGTCCTCTGCACCGGCAATAACCTGCACAGCAGTGAAGGATGCGTCGGGCTATATCGCAGTTAGGTTTCAATTCGTAATGGTCCGCTGTCGTCCCCCATGGCTCAGTGGCATAAGCTGCTGTCTAGTTGGCGTTAGCCTCTAGCAGTCATGGGTTCGGTCTCCAGTAGGGGACCAATGGATGTGCATCACTGACGAGTCCCAATAGGGCGAAACGCGGTCTGGTGCTTTTCCAGATTGGTAGCTTACCTGTGCGGCTTGGAATCGAATTGCGATGAACCAACTTGAATCATACCGAAATCCATCTACTCATTCGTAATAAATTCTATTACCTAAAATACATATACCAGCCCGTGAAGCAGCGCGGCTAGATTGTGCCTCTATCGGTTTGCTCGTTGATCGTTGTTCTTTCGAGTTAGACATTTGTTCGCCGGGTCGAATTAGAGTAGATTTAACACTAAGCTAGGAGCATAGGTCAGCCTACGAGGTAAAGGAACGAACGAATGTTTATCAGGTAGAAGAAACAAAACAGGTGATTATTGGTGCTGGGAAGTTGCCGTCCAGGAGGGACTTGGAAGAGATGGTTGAAACAAATGACATCTGTTCCGGTTAGATCACGGATCACACATCAAAGCAAGAAACCGAATGAATGGGAGCACGATTTACGATGTGCATTAGCCGAAACCGCACGCAATTGATCAGAAATGGTTAGAACGAATCAATACCAACCGTAAATTTAACGGTTACCAATGCTTGAGCACTTAAAATTGCGCAAATATAAGTATTTTCCTTATTCGAATGATCAAAAGTAATTAGAAACAGCATTCAATTTCCGTAATGTAAAGCAAAACATGCAATAGTTACCAGTTAAGTAGCTTTTAATTAAATGTTTTGGTGGCAATTTCTTATAGTGAACCTGTTTTGTGGGTGACAGCCACAAAATGGTTAAGAACCACTGGAGTAGACAAATGACACAAGAGAGAAGAGAATGCCGAAAGATGACACATCCGGAGTAAGATGGGGATAATTAGGCAACCGTTGTCAGCAAACGACGGAACGCATAAGGATCCAAATCGAGTTCAGACGCTAGTATCTGACAACAAATGTGTAGAACGATAGTTCACCAGCACGGACATAATGCTCCAGACTGCTAGCGTATCGTCTAAATAATGGAAGTGAGACACGTGGTAGAAGACAAAAAGTGATTTAATCTTATGAGTAGAAGAATTTTGGCGAGCAGTCAGCCAACAATTTAGATAAGTCAACTACCTATCCGGAAAAGGACCAAATGGCACTGTTTGCTAGAAAAATAGAGTCCCCGAAAAGTACAATTCTATCAATCAGGCGCTTTACTTCCAAGTGTCAGGTAGGGTGAGGGTCTATGGCAAACTTTCCTCACTCATCGCTAGTGGTGTGCGACCAGAGTGCCCTTTCTCTTTACTCCTCTACAACTTTTCAATTAAAGATGTCCTGTTGAGATCTCTGGAAGGCTCCTAAAAGCTTGGTGTTGAACTTCTTCCTGGCAATCATGTGAGCGACTTAGATTATGCCGATGATATCACTCTACTCCACGACGATTCAGAGTGTACAGCATCTTTTGAACCGTCTGGCAATTGAATCGTATAAGTTTGGTATGCGCTTTTCCCCTTTGAAGTGCAAAGTGCAATTCCAGGACTGGAAGTCGTCCGCCCCCTCACTTACCATTGAAGGAGCACAGTTAGAGATTGTGAACAACTTTGTCAACCTCAAGAGCTGTATTTATGCTGATATCTTTATTGGGAAAGAGGTATCTCTCCGCATCGCTAAAGCCCGGTCGGTATTTACCAAGCTGAGTCATTTTTGGCGTCGTCGGGATATATACCTCTCCTTAAATGGGAGGGTCTACAAAGCTTGTGTCCGTGCGGTCCTGTTGTACAGAAGTGAGTCATGGCCGGTTCGTGTGGATGACTTGCGTAGGCTTTCGGCCTTCGACAACACATGTTTGAAGGTAACAGCCCGAGTGTGGTGGCAGCACCGGGTTCGCAACGATGAAGTCCGATGTCGCGTCTCAGGAAACAAGAGCCCTCCGCTTGATCGGCTTGTCGCAATGCGCCAATTGTAATGGCTTGGTCACGCTCTACTTATGTCATGCGAGCGGTTACCACGCCGCGCCTTATTTGCTCGCATGGGACTGAACTGGAAGCGAACGCGTGGAGGTCAGCCAACCACTTGGCGGCAAACCATGAAATCACTGACCTGTTTCGCAATCGTCGGCCCGGTACATCTTCCTGGTTGGGGGCCAATGGATGAGGACTGCCAATGGCTCGACCAACTTAACGATATGGCGCGAAACCAGAAGCAATAGAAAGAGTGTATATTGAAATGTTTTGAACGTAATTGGAGCTTTATCATACAAAATGTCAAAAAAGGAATAAAAAGACGTATGAAAACAGAAAAAACAAAAAGCCAAGAAGTACAAATATCCGTCCTCTGTTTCTGACATTTGTGCTTTTTATTTTGTTCCTCATGATTTTCCGATAGCTCAATGACTAGTTATAGGCTGATGGATATATATATATATATATATATATATATATATATATATAGGCTCAGACAATTAGGAAAAGAGACGGCTTGCTTCTTGACAGAAAAAAGTCTCGCATAGTTCTTCTGTAGCATTCATGAGAACTCCCGTCAGTTCACCGAGCGAGTTGTAAAACCTGTGCTTTTTCACTCCTAATAAGCCCAGTTCATGCCGCTGGTCACGGCGCTCTAACGTTAACATCGCGGCCAACCAACTTACCAAGAATCCATTGGGGCGCAAATAGGTTGTGGTGCGCAGAAATGCAAAGCATGTCACTAGATAACAACCAAGTTTATTCGCATAGTTCATTCGACTTCATCCAACCGGGCGTCACTTCCATCCGTTCTTAAAGTTTCGCACTCATATCAGTGCTGACTGAATATGCACCCTGCACCTGCATTGATCCGAGATTTTTCCGATCCTACAGATGTAGCAGTCATCCCTAAACCGCTCATTAGTAGTGCATCACAAATCGACATGAACGCAAACAAACGGGTAAAAGACAACATTTATCGATTTCAAACACTTACTTGTTTCATGCTTTTATCGTGAAATTTGTCAAAGGCGTTTGCCGGTAGTGACCCCAGATCGCGAATCTTCTTTAAATTCTCTTCTTTCTACAGTAATCAGATGATATGAGTCTGAAAACCGACCATGGGTGCATTTTAAAAAATTATCCCTCTCGTCAATGTGTCCCTAGGGGTAGAGGGAGAACTAGGACAAATGAAAGTGTCCAGGCAACGAGAATTAAGGAGTATGAGTAGTTCAATCACAACACAAATTTAAAAGGAAATCAAAGCGAGAGTTTTGAGTACCGATCAAGCACATTGAGTTGACAATTAATAACGCCCACCGGACCCAAAAATGTGCTCACAACAACGTCTGAAACACCTCACCGACAAGTGGCAACAGCCCGAGGCATCCGCATAAAGTCATAAAAATGGTAGGCGGTATAGCTAGAGGTTGTAGCTCTGTGGGCCAGCCCCGTCCGCTGCACAATAGTGGTGGATAAGCTGTACCACATTGTAGTCAATAATAGTGAGCTATGGCAGTTTGCCGCCGAAACACACGACTCGGTAACTTAGGTCGCTACATTGTAGGAAGATAGGGTTGCGATCCAGTTAGCTTAGACGATTCAGCTCAATGAAGAAGTAAGGGATGTAAGACGCCGTCACAGTGACAAGTACTAAGTGTTGCCCACTCGAAACGCTACACTTTACCATCGGTTTTATGCTTGTTTGCAATCGGTAGGCAGAAGTAGCAGCACTGTGATTTGAACCCAGGACACGTTGGGAGTGCGAACAGAAGCCGTTACCACCCTGAGAGAACGGATTGCCGCATGTTATCTCAATCTGGGCAGCGATTCGGATTGTAGTGAACCTCGGTCAATTCAGCCACATAAACCGGAGAAAAGGGTTCGGTTTGTTGTAGTTTTACTGAGTCCCAGATTGGAGTCATACTGTGGCGAGTTCACGAACGTGCACGAAACTAGTCGTGGAGTGCCGTGTCACCAACGGATAACATCAAACGTGGCATCATACAACAAGCTGTGTGTCAGCCGGAAATTTCCAACGGTCTGGCATTTTCTGCTACTGTGCCCCCAGTTTTTGTCGCAAACCCGCCTGCATACACTCAGTGGATCAGGCTCGAAGTGCCCCTTCTAACGCTTCAGGTAGCTAGAATCTACGCATTACGGATTGACAACTTCCGTAGTTGAGCTCTTTTAGAAGCCAAAGTTAAAGGTTCTCTAACAAATACACCGTGGTTGTACAATGATAGCACACGTCTAACACTGCATTGGGACCAGTGAAAAAGTCAAACAACTTTCTCCACAACTCGATTATGATAATCGGTCTGTGTTTTGCAAGGTCGAGAAATATGCCACTTCAAATGGATTGGAAATGGGGGAATAAGTTAACCGCAGCAAATATTATGTGGCCAAATGACACAACAAGTTATGCGGTCCGGAATCGGGTACCTATTGAGGACACATCATGACGCCGCAAAGATTCGCGTTGAGAATGCCTTTTCTCGGACCCCAATTCGGTCGCGTTGTTGCTGTGTGACGAGTAAGCTATGCATTATCGGCGACGGTGTTATCAGATGGAAACTAACCACGCTGTTCTCACCCAGAGACAATGTAACCAGGTCAGTGATACAGCTATCGGGTGGAAGTAGCATTTCCCAACAAGTACATTGCAATAACAAGGTTAAGTGTGATATAATTACGGAACTGAACAACCCACTGCGACCTTTGGCTAAAGCCTGTAAAAGCGCCTCCGCTGAAGGCTTATATCTTTCTTCTGCTGTGGTCGAACGTAGTAGTGAGCCGTCTGTTCGTTCTCGGTGCAACGACCAATCGCGAAGGAAATGATCCCAAAGTGATCAAAACTAAGTTTGGATCCAAAATCTACAATGCTGTGTACAACGAATTTAACAAAACTAATGCAGCACATTTGTTAATAACCTCCTACAAAGAATTGTCGCAGTGCAGGGTCATTCCCCAGCTGCAGATCGAAGGCTACTTGAGTATCGTTTGGTGGCAGCAGGATGGTGAGTCGGCTCATTCTGTACCAACGGTACGTGACTATCTTAACGAAACTTTCGGTAATCGTTGGATCAATCGTGGAGGACCCGCGGATTGGCCTGCACGGTCTCCTGATTTGAACCCCTGGATTTCTTCCTATGTGGGGGCACTTGAAACGCCAACTGTATAAAACCAGGCCAACCTGTCTGGAGGAACTGAAACGATGATCATGTTGAACATCTACCTCGTTGACTTCTTGCTCTGGAAACATAGTTCATGTAAACATATGTATAATGCATAAGGATTGATTTCACTACAGCATTGCTGCGATGGGTACTGGTGCCAATCCTTCGTCGAGATAGAATGAACACTACGAGAAAACAGAACAAGATGGGTACGTAAGAAACGCGCGATCGCTCAACTGCTCGACAGGGTGCAGGCGTCGCTGTTGATGTTTATCGTAAATTTGACGGCGGTGGACGAAACCGGTGAAGCTCAGTAGGCTGCGTTAGGCGCTACTTTCAAACCAGAGTCACGTACGTCCGTTGCAGATATGACGTAAAGCTCGTGTTTGCCAAGTAAATTATGATTTCAGCCATTTCTCTGTCAATCATGGTTCTAAGATGGAAAGGGAAATGTCGCTAGCAAGTAACGTAGGAATTAAAAGATAGAGATTTTCACCACCGATTCTCGGTGGCGATTACAGCCATACTCGCCATATTCACTTCCGCCTCCTCCTCTCACAATGCCCTCTGCGAATTTTTCGGCCATAACACCCTATCCACTTAAACTCGATCGCCCCAAATTGCCATAGCATTCTTTTTGCATTCCCCCACCCCCATTAATCCCGATAGAACTGGCGAATCTCACCGCAAGGGATTTACTGCGGAAGGCTCTAGAACTAATGTAATTGCAAGATGAAATACTGAGTAAAATGATGAACATCGCCAGGACATTTTAATATGCGTTCTCTGTTGAATAACCATTTAATCCGCACCTTCATATGACTGAATACACCTGATATGATTTTACTCACTGAATCTTGTTGTCACGATTCTATGCCCAACCAGCTGCTTTCTATCGAAGGTTACAAGCTTGTTATAAGCGATCGAAAGCAAGGCAGAGAAGGTGATTGCGTAATTTGCCACTCGCAAAACCTCTCCGTCTCTGAATTCACACTTCCACTTATATGCCCCACTATTGATTCTGTTTGGTTACTCTTATCCTTCAGTACTAAGCGAACGCTTGTGGACTGTATATACCGCTCACCCTGGGTCAGCCGCAGTGAGGAGAACCAGTTGGTTGACATCATTAATTAATTATCGGAACTTAGTTCTTTTGAGAAAGTCGTTGGCGGAAATTTCAAGCTACCAGACATCTGGTGGTCCAACTTAGTAACAAACGCGAAACATACTGAGTTCATAACCTCCGTCATCATCGGTGGTTGGGAGCAACATGTTCTCGTGGCTACCTGGGGTAAAAATATACTAGATCTACTTTTTACCTCAGGCATGCACCCGATACTGACGGTCTCGCCGAATGTGATCGCAAAATAGTCTGATTTAAAATTATAGCTGAGTCGTCGCATGTGAGGTGATTCCACACTTCCTGCTAAATGGCAATAGGGTAGATTTCTCCGCTCTGCTTAGGGTCTAAAATTGAGACCATTTCTTTCTTTCGTCTGATATTAAGGGAGCCTCTGACACCTTCTATGACAATGTGACTATGTGCTTAACCATACTTGCCTCCCGTGATAATACCAGAGCCTCTTTTAAATACGCTAACAGCGCAAAGGACAAGCGGAAAATACGAGTGCTAACTCGAACATATGAACGTACTTACGACTTCAGCGTATTACTGTGACTCCAAGGCCTTCTAATTGAGACGGACATGAAACGTCAAACCCGTCTCATGCAGAAAGAACAACGGGCTGTAAATAGTAGTAATACAAGTTAACCGTTGACTGCATTATTGAGAAAAAGGAGGCGGCAAAACTGACCTACCCTCCCACATCGCCGTGCCTGAAAACGAATGCATTGATTCCCCAATTACTATGGCAAAAGCCTTTGGCTCATATTTTGCTGAATTAAATTGAACATGAAACGAGGGAATTGTCAAGCTCGAGCAACTTTTTCTGAACAAGTCTCAGCAATCGACCTTAGTGTCGCTACGATAAAACGCATGATTGCCTGTCTACAATCATCCAACAGACCCGGCTCGATGCGAGCACTCCTGCTTTAGTCAAACACGGTGGAGATGATATCCTTCTTCCGTTATTGAATATCTCTGTCTATCCAGTGTGGTGAACATCCCGAAAGTTGGAAAACGTCTACGGTCATACCGAGACATATGTCCGGGTCGAAAACTGACATCCGGAACTACCTCCCTATTAGTCACACAGTCATCCTCTCACGCACGCTAGAGAGAATTGTTAAGGAACACTGGGTTTCGTTCCTATTATCGCACCAACTAACGTCTCTCACCTTCACAGCATGGCTTACTGAAGTTCCGCTCGTGTTACCTGTCAATCTGACTTCCTTAACCATCTAACTGAAGCAATTGACTCAGGTCTTCAGTGCATTGTCCTCTTCCTTGACATGAAAAAAGCGTTCAATAGAGTCGCATACAAGAGGCTGCTATACAGATTAAGTAAGTACGATGTGATAAATCCGCTTCACTCTTGGCTCCAATCGTACCTAGTAGGACGGCCACAAGTTGTGGATATAAATAGAAACAGCTCTTCACCTCGTTTGGTCACCAGTGGAGTGGTACAGGGCAGTGTTTTAGGTCCGTTACACTTCTTACTGAATATAAATGACCTTCTTACTGTTATACAATTTGGCAGGCCGTATTTGTTTGCTGATGATCTAAAGGTTGTCTACACGTTCTCAAATTCCCAGCATACCGCTGAACTTAACAATACCCAAAGCGACTTCAAAGCCATTGAGAGATGGGTTGATATGTAGCAGATGATGTTTATAATAGCGAAGTGGAGTATTCTGGCGTATAGAAGTCAGATAGCAGCAGAAATGTTCAGGCTTCATGTCGAAGTCATTCCCTTCAGCCGGTTTGTCTGTGAATTAGGTTTGAGATACTCTAGTTCCTTAAACTTTAACGAATATACAAACCATATGGTGAAAAACACTAAGCAGTCGGTCGGGCTCATATGCCACCTGATAACCTTGAAAGAAACCACAATAATTGCTTTCAAAATTAGTATTAGACCTTTGCTGTGTTACGTTCAGCAACCTGCGAAAGTGTGAGTTGAGTCCCATAGAAAACATTCAAAGCGCTTCCAGGTGGCGTATATTTGCTTATTCAACCGCTTTTTCATGCAGAGATAGGTGCAAGGAGGTGAATCTTGAACCTCTGTGCAATTAAATCTGTGCTTCCTCCACAAACTCGCGTGGCGAAAAGTATATGTTGGAACATATCAATTGCACTTTCAAGAAAATATCATTTACGAACTGCGAGACAGTGAATGTATAGTCTCTTTACCTAAATTCAGGACCAGCCTAAGGAGAAATTGCTACCTTTGTGGGTATGGCTCTAGATGGAATAAGCTGCCAAAAGTGATTAGATGTATGGAACATTTTTACATGTTCAAGAAAATGGTAATTTATCTGTCAACTGACAAAGTGAAATGAATCTTAAAATGCAACTTGATGTTGAAAAGCTATATGAAGAAGGGCTGGATCAAGTATGATCCCGGAGAACATCGACTGGAAACATGTTCAACAAATGGACCAGAGCAAACTTGATCAGTTAGGATGAGTTGTTACAATCGCCATTCTCTAACGCAACATCCTATGTGGTTTACTCCTTTCAAACAAATCGCACCAAATGTCTTCTGATCTAAAACCGAGAGTAAAATTATTTACTGGTATGGGGCCAGTAACTATCTTCGTAATGCTCACCTCAAATTGACCAATCCGTAATAATTGTTCTGCGATTTCCTTCGCTGTATTTGTTCTGTAATACTAAACATTTCCCCTTCTTTTCTGGAATTAACAGTCCAGAAACATATACCAGTTTTAAGTGATTGGCGATATCGGATTTCCTAGTTAACTTTCCTATTGAACCTTTAAATTTCCTATTTAACTTTCAACTAGGGACAACTCGTGCAGTTATCTGTCTTCGGTTGTCGCGCCGCACAATTTGATCGTATGATCGGCTCGATCCATTCTTAAGCTGATGTAAAAACATACTTGCTTATTTTTACATTAACGATATAGTACCTCTTTCACATAATTCTTCTTCCACATTCTTCCTTATTTCATTGTTGGTCACAACTGGGCTGGTCTCCTGTGGTGACGGATTATAGCTTCTAGATTACCTTTACCTAGCTAAGACATTGCTACTAACTGACTGGCATATAAAAAGTGCCGTAATTGAATGATCCGCACGACGGACCGGGCTGAGGCTTCATCGCTCATAATACATGTATAAAAGCAGCCCTAAAAGGAACAGAACATATGATAAGCAGGTGATGGATCACATGCTACTATACCACACCGGCTCGCGGCCAGGTATAGCATGGGAGTGCAGGTGAAACTCATCGAGAGAATAATCTGCATGGAAGCAGGTCCCCTGGAGACGGTTCCACCGATGGCCGCATTAGTTTGCCTGAACATTTGTTTAAATCTGTATTTGTTATTGTTCCCGGATTTTTAATTTATTTTATACCTTAAACCTGCTAATTACTTTAATATCCGTTTTGGATCCATTGTATAAAGCGTGAATAATTGACTATTTTGCGCGATCGTGCTGTATACAGTGGTCGGACCACATAGCTGGACTGTGCCTCGAGCCGCCGAGGAATATACCATTTATATATTTAATGCCTTGTGGACAGATGGTCGCGCACAGTGATTTACGGTACTTCCGGGAGTTGAGGATCGTGAAGTAGAAATTACGGAAAGACAAGCAGATGGTCAAAATATTTCCGATACGGGAATAGGAGATATGCCAACTGACCCGCACTTAACGCGCACAAAAGGACCATAAGTAAAACGTACCTTTTTCAGCAGTTGGCTCTGTTTCGACTGCAGTTTTTCAAGATTCTGTTGATCTTCTTGGATGCGTTCAGCGTACTCCTTCTCCTCCTGCTTCTTTCGTTCTCGTTCAGCTTCCAGTTGTTGTTGCTCATTGAGTAGATTAGCTAAACGAGTCTCCACCTCGTCGACTGTGCGTTGGGCGGCTTCAATGCGCCGTTCAACCTGTTCATCAAGGGATGCGTGAATGCAACGGGAATGAATGGAGATTAGCAGAATGACCTTCAGTAATCGGATTAATACCCCATACTCTGCTCCCCCATTGTATGCACTTAACTATCGCTGTTCACAGCGATAGTAACATTGCGCTCATGCGAACTAGACGATACCCAGAGGTAACAGAAAACAGATTGATAGTATAAACCCAACAGGAGACAACAAACACACATACACACACTTGCATCAACACAGAACATTTAGCTAAAAGGGGTTGACTAACTCATATGGATATGAGAAATCAAGCGCAAAGTGTGTTTTATTGCGACATTCGCCGGGTTCGTCAACCTCAGTTCACAGAAACAACTCAGCAGCCTTAAGCAATACCGAAACAAGATTTAGGGTTCAAAGGAAACAACCTGCTGAGTAGCGCCCAGGCAAAAATTTTTCGAACAACCTATAAAAAAGCGGCTCGTGGGGACGAGTCGGTTTGAGGGGGGGAGCAAATGGAGGCAATGAAGACCTACAAAATGACTCCGAGATTCGTCGTTCATCACACCATTCCTCTGGCCCGTTCGGTCAAGGTTCATATCAGTGAACTGTAGGCATGTATGCTTGACTCCTGATCAAAACGTGACGATATGTGTGGCATTTGCATAATCAGCACGTATCCAGAGAAGCACTGGCCTAGGTTTGATATAGCGTGACTTAATCTCCATTGATTTACAAGTCACTGCTGTGATGTAAAATTAATAGACGGCTTAGATTTGGAGGTGGTGGACGGGGGGTTACGCGGTCCTCTTCAAGGTGGCAACGTGCAAATTATGGGAAAATGATCCGCGCTACATCAAGTGAATCACAGCTGCTGTCAGCCTCCGTGGGCCAAGTGGTATGCATCGCTAACTCGCAAGGGTAAGGTCGCGGGTTTAATCTAAACAGAGGATAAATAGTGACGATTAGTCGAAAGGCCAAAACGACTGTTAATTACTTTTCAAGATGTGTGCTAGCTGTTTAACGGTATCAAGTTGTAATGGGTTCGATTTAACTACCCCTTGTGACCTTAATTGTATTGGGAACCACTGGACTCCACTACGTCCCTCGGGTGTCGATGCTCAGGTCACTTTAGTGATCCAATCACTGTATTCACAGAAGAGGCAAAGCACAATCAGGGACTACCGCACAGTTAAAAACGCTAGAGAGGTTCATACGTTTGACGACTAGAATTTCATAAATAAAGGAGGATACGAGCTGTGAAGCTAACAAAAAGAAGCTCCAAACCAATTGATTGGCTCCACTCTGCCCCAGAAAACACGTGAACAAGTTTCGGTGATTACATTGTCCTTAGTGTTAGTGCAGTTTTGTTGAAAAGTGGAACAGCGAAAGCGCCCATGAATTTTCCACGTGAGGCAGTTACATGTAACTGTGTGGTGGAATCAACGCGAATTATAAAGACTTCTCAGTGTATGGTAAGGTGTTTCAAGGGCGGTATACAGCCCAATGGCGGATATCGGATTTGGACCCCAGCAGCATGGGACATTAGCGCCGGGATCCAAACACGTAGTGGATTGTGCAATTTGAGTAGAGCTGATTAAGAAGTTCAGACGATGCAGTCAACATAATCTAACCGGAACCGTAGTAGCAGTCGTAACGTAAGAAGCGGCCAATCAGAAGGCAGCATACAATCCATCGCAAACAGCAACGTAAGACTGCGTACGCTTCCAGGATAAATCTGGCCTCGAATGAAAAATAAAAACACAGAGGAACAAGAGCAAGTTGTGGAAACGAGAGGGAAAGAATTAGCATACGACAGCCATGCGAAAAGGACTGATTAGCTGATCTGGAAAAATAGGCAAAATAAGGAGCGTGATGGCTAGTCAGCAGGGTTTGCCGGAGAAGAAAGCAATGATACAAGGCCTTGTTCTAGGGAACAGGTTTTGTAACTACTGAAGTCAAGATGGCCAATCTTTGCGAAGACCCGTCGCAGCTACACTCAGGTAGACAGTCACCACACATCCAGAAAAGCGCTAGACGACCTTTTCGTCCTATTGAGACTCGTCAGTAACGCGCACTCGCCGAATCCTGTCGTCACCCATGGCACTGTGGCATAAGTCGCCGGCTCGTAAAGGTAAGGTCGTGAGTTCGAATCCGGCAGGATTCGGCGGGTGCGGGCTACTGGCAAGTCTCAAAAGGACGAAACGTCCGTCTAGCGCTTTCCTGGATATGTAGTGGCTGTGCTCCTGAGGCTAAGTGTGACAAATCTTCGCAGAAACCCAAGGATTCCCCCTACTACTCACTAAGATGGTTAATTTGTTCATAGATGCCTATTAAGGGGCCGGTGGCTGAGAGGATTCCACGCCTGCCTTAACATCCCTAGGCCACTGATCCGATTTCGCGTAGGCGCGGACGACCTCACGGTATATTCAGCTACCGTGCAACTGGTGGTGATTGCGTGGCACCGAAGTGTCGGTCCGGTGTGTCGGCGTACTGCTGATACCTTCTACTTCCAGAAAGCGAACGGTGAAGTTGTGTCTCCATTGGGTTATCGTGGTATTCTAGAAAAAGTTTCTCCACGGGTCATACGCGAGATGATAGAGATAAAGGGAGAGGTATCATAAGTACACCGGTACACAGTACCGACGCTTTGCTGCCTCGCAACCACTAACAGTCGCGCGTGGGTTAAGGATATGGTGAGGGTCCCGTGGTCCTAAACGTAGACTAGAACTCGCACTCTCGGATTGAAATGCAGGTTTTTGATCCTTTAGGCTATCGGCAGCACAGAAACAACCACAAGAACTGGTGCGTAGCGACTCCGTCTGCTCTTTCTCATCGGTCACGGGAGCAATCTCGCCAAATTTTTAACGAAAGGACGATTGGAGAACCCAAAATACAATGAGGCAGAAACTCTGATGTGCTATTTGGCCTACGTGTTATAAAGAGGGAACGTTGCAAAAACATGTTGCCGGCACGAGCTATGCAAGGGACATTGTTGCCCGCTCGCCGACCTGGCATCAGAAGTCATAGGCCTAATCTAACAAATCAGTCATGGTAGATCTGAAAGATGGCAGAGGCAACTGACCCAACTCAGGTCACTTGTGGAGAACATGTGGCATAGATTCCAATGGTTTCTACTACAGGCTCAATCAAAATGGAAATCCATTTATGAAAGTATGCAAAAGGTTGACAACAACGTTGTCACAATCCAATGCGCAGAAGTGGCGAATAGTAAGTGCAGTGAAGAAGACAGACAGACTTACCTCGCGCAACTCATCCTCGGCTTCTGCCAATCGATCTTGTAAGTCGTGCTCGGATGCCTCGGCAAATTCGGTCTCCAGCTGCTCCTGTTTGCGTAGCAAATTGTGCTCCAAGAGCGTTTCTTTCTCATTCTTTTCGGTTTCAAGGGTAATACGTTGTCTATAAAAAAGTGACGAAAAATAAAGATATAGTTCGAACAAACCATCGCAATGAGGCTGGACCTTACCGTGGTGCGATGGTTTGTGTGCCTCAGTGATCCATTGTGCTATACTGGGTGGTGCTTTTGCACCTTCAGAGTCACTCATACCAGATTGGTCAATGGTTAGAGGCCAGACAAACTCAGCCTCCTGGTCCTCCAGGTTGGAGGTTGGAATGAGGGTGGCACCTTATTCCTTAAAATGGACTCCTTGTAGCCCAACGCCAAACCCGCTGCCTTGCGGTCAGGTTTTTGAACCAAAGGCTTTGGTTGAGAACCCTAATCGTTCTCCTGTCTAGGCCTGGGCAACCTGACAGTATCCTGCCCACGCAATACCATGAATTTTCCTTCAAACAATTTCTTGATGCTCTGGCCACCGCAGAGGATAATAAACGGTGCCCTATCTGCTGCATCGAGCAGGGTGGATAGGGGTTTGGATGCTACTGCTCAAGCCTTCCCGTCTTCTTATTCCCCCTCTTACGCTTTTTCACTCTTACCGTCCCATTCCAACTTCACTTATATCCCCCCAGTTTTCAACCCCCCGATTCTTGGCCCTCCCCCAACATGCTTTGCTAGGCATTTACCTTCTAATTTCAACTCACACGTGAACGCGGAGCGTCACTCCTCACCTGTCGACAAGCCCATGTCCAACCAAGCGGTCCAATCCAGTTCATCCGCTTCCATTTGGAGCCCTCGATCCTCCTTCAGATTGGCATGCCTCAATGTACGCACACTGCTACAAATCGGTCAACAGGCAGCACTTGCCCGAACATTGGAGACCCTCTCGATCGATATCTGCTGCTTATCAGAGACTCGCCTGCAAGACTCGAGCACTGTGCTCACTCTGCGATCCCCTTCAGGGGACGCAAGCAGTATTTTCTCCTTGCGCCTATCCGGTGACGATGCAGCTTCGAGCACCGGCCAAGCCGGTGTTGGTATTGCCCTGAGTCCCCGGGCTGAAGCTGCTCTGGTCGATTGGATTCCAATCAGTAGCCGGATGTGTGCGGTCCGATTGGCTGGCTCGTTTAAAGCTTCGAAGTCGCGCGGGACTAATAGATGTCTATTCATCATCGCTGCCTATGCGCCCACAAACTGTAGCGATGATTCGGTAAAGAACGACTTCTACCGCCAACTGACCCAGCTCCTTCGCCACAGAAGAAGCACGGACACTGTTGTGCTGGCGGGGGATATGAACGCACAAGTTGGAAAGTTGTCCACTGATGAACTGCATCTGGGCGGTCAACACGGTGTAGGCTCCCGTAATGATAACGGTGAGCGGTTACTTCATTTGTGTGAAGATGCTCGCTTATTTCTTGCGAGCACTAATTTCCGACACAGCACCCGCCGAAGGGTGACTTGGCGCCCACCAACCTCGAACCAGCCTTGCACGCAGATCGATCACATTGCGATAAGTTACCGCTGGAGAGGCTGCATCCAGAATTGTCGCTCGATTTGGAGCACATGTGTGGACACCGATCATGCACTTGTATGTGCTGACATGCGGATGCGTTTTGGCGGACGCCCACGACGACGCTGTGAGCGTATTGACACCAGCCAACTGACAAAACCAGCTGTTCTGAATGCGTATCGAAGTACGCTAACATGCGAGTTGAACAAGCGCTCACAGGAGACAATTGATGGTCACTGGTCACATGTTCGCCAGACCTTACTAGCAGCAGGAAAATCCTCATGTGGTATGTCTAATAGACAACATGGACATTGGGTCTCTTCGCAGTCTCTGGAACTTATAGATGCTCGCCGGCAAATCCCGGCTGGAAGCGAGCACAATGAAACTCGCAAAGAGCTCCGGGCAAAACTCCGTGCTAGCCTGAAGAGAGACCGCGAATCTTGGTGGTCTCATCGTGCGTCAGAGATGGAAGTGGCCGCTGCCCTTGGCAACCATCATAAGTTATTCCGTCTGATACGGGAAACGGGCAGCAGGAGACCTGGTGTTAGTGAAACTATACGTGACGAGAGTGGACAGCCTATCCACAATTTGTCAAAACGTCTGGAGCGTTGGGCTGAGCATTTTGAAAAGCAATTTAATCGGCAAGAATTGTTCGATCCGCCGGTCACTGATCGCCCCGCTCCGTGGGCTGTCCCTTTGGATCCACCCTCTCGCTCAGAAGTCGAACGTGAGATCGGACTGTTGAAGTTGAACAAAGCCGCGGGACCAGATGATCTTCCTCCAGCCCTCTTCAAATTTGGAGGCTCTGCTCTTGTTGATGCTTTGCATGAATTACTAGTGAAACTGTGGGAGCAGGAAACTGTCCCAACCGACTGGAGCCGCTCCGTTATTGTTCCCATCTTCAAAGGCGGCTCGCGCTCGGAATGCGGCAACCATAGAGGAATCAGTCTGATCTCCATCGCCTCCAAATTACTCGCCTCCATAATTCTCCACAGACTGACTGGCGCTCGTGAAAGCCAGATTCGTGAGGAGCAAGCCGGGTTTCGTCGGGGTCGTGGCTGCATCGACCACATCTTCACCTTGCGTCAGTTGTTGGAGCACCGTCACACATATTGGCGGCCCACCGTAGTCGTGTTCCTCGACATCAAAGGTGCCTTCGATTCGGTTGATCGATGTGCCCTTTGGAATTGTCTACTCAGGAAAGGTGTGCCCGAGAAATATGTAAATATTATCCAAGCATTATATGCGCGTAGCACGGGCAGAGTAAGGGCTTACAGCAGGCTGTCGCCACCCTTCAATATCTCCAGCGGTGTGAAACAAGGATGCCCGCTGTCACCTTTCCTATTCAACTTCGCAATTGACGAAGTCATGGAGATTGCATTTACAGGACATGACTTGGAAGGTGTGGAGCTACTCCCAGGAGAACGACTTCTTGACTTGGAGTATGCAGACGACATTGCCCTCATCTGTGACAGCTCCCAGACGTGTCAAGCCGCGCTGAACAGATTAGCACTGGCTGTCAGTCGCTTCGGGCTTTGCTTTGCACCACCGAAGTGCAAAGCATTCCTCCAGGATTGGCAGGGTTCGCCCCCTGTGCTGACCCTTGGTGGGGATCAGCTAGAAGTCGTTCAGAAATTCAATTACCTGGGAAGTTGTATCAGCGCCCTTGGGATCGAAGACGAGATCACGAACCGCATAGCGAAAGCTCGAAGTGCTTTTGCTAACCTTCGCCACCTATGGCGACGGCGCGACATTACTCTCGCCCTGAAGGGTAGAGTGTACAATGCAGCGGTACGTTCGACCTTACTGTACGGTTGCGAAACCTGGCCCCTAAGATCGGCGGACATGAAGAGGCTAGTTACGTTCGACCATCGGTGCCTTCGCAGTTTGGCTCACATCTGGTGGGAACACCGCGTGAGTAACGAGCGTGTTCGACGCCTTGTTTACGGCCTAGGAAAAGGGAATGAACCGCTCAGCACCGTCATTTCACTCACCAGGCTCCGATGGCTGGGCCACGTGTTGCGCATGCCAGCCCACCGACTCCCTCGACGTGCGTTGTTTGCTCACCGGGGATGTGGGTGGAAGAAGAGGAGAGGTGGCCAAGCGATGACTTGGTCCAGAGGAATGAAGGCCCTCACTTCCGAGCTGGCCTCAGTTGGAGCTTCACGGCTCCCTGGTTGGGGTCCAAAAGACGGTGAACACGTTTGGCTGGATACACTTGCTGATATGGCAAGGAGCCGACCTCAGTGGCGTTCCTGCTGTGAGTTTCTTTGTCCCTCCCCATCCCTTTAGCCTCCCCCTCCATCTACGATCTTATCTCATAGGGTAAAACGTAATTAAATTTTTGTTTTTGCCTAGTAGCCGGCTAGTAGCTTACCGGAACGATGTCTATCCGTTGCTGGTAGCTCAGCTGGCATTCAACTGTCGTATTTATTTTTCCTTTATTTATTGTATGTATGTATGTATTTCCTTTATGTATTGCGGTACAATAGCGGAGGTGTTTTACCATCTCTAGCTGACATGTATAATGATGATGATGATGATGAGTTCGAACAAAAGAAAGTAACCGCGTAATAGACACCGAACAGGTCAGAGCGTTTAGGGGAAAGATGCGTAAGGGACCAGGGCTGATGCAAAATGACCAAGGGGATTCCAAGACCTGATGGACTGCACTCATTAGAGAGAGAGAGAGAGACAGTCGAAGTACAAAATGGGTGTCAAAGTATAGGACAGAGTCATTGAGGTGCAGAGGAGTAATGGCAACCTAATGCGGCAAGTAAAGTATATTACACGACATGTACTAATAGCCGTGGGGAAGGAAGTGAGGCCACGTGGTGCGTAGAGATAAAGTGGGCAGATCCAAGTAGCGGACGCTGTAAACCGCACCGGTGTGGTAAGTGATCAGCTGTGAATGTCGGTGATCCATTTAATCAAGTTGTCAAGTCACCAGAGATGAGTGACGCCGCCGCGCCACTCAACCACGTCAGTAGAATAGCGTAATTGGCACCCAGGGTGGGAGCAGGAGGCTTGATTTGGGATCGCGAGCCTTTAGGTTTAGAAACACGCATGTTTCACTGCAGTGACCATTTCTGTTACTAGTGGTCAGGAAAACACTAAACGGATAACCATTAGCGTGCAACGAAGTTTTAAGAGTCGGCTAACATCGGTGGTAAAATTTGACCACACATGTATTAGAACCTGTGTTGTGAAACATTATTTAGCCCAGTAGAGCTAACATCATGAACATCGTTACAACACCGTTTAAACCATATTGATTTGGGCTCCAAGCGGCCAATTCATAGCGTTTATCGAAATAGAAGGTGGGTACATGGGTCGACTCCCTCCGAGAAACCCTAGAAAACCTATTAGTACGAAGTGCATGTATGCATGAGAGAAATGTCTTGGAAGAACGGAGGACAACACAGTCAACCGATGCATCAGTTGTATTACTCCTAAGCGAAATGAAAACTGGGAGCGTGTTTGGATACGGAGGGTATTAATCAACGTCCATAAGAAAACCTAAACCGCCATAGATCAAAGTTACCTCGGAAAATA